ATTTAAAACAGTTGACACAAATACTAATTTTTTGTGTCCATTGGGTTTCGGTTGGGGACATATTCAGGAACTTCTCACAGTAATATATGGGATGCCCCGCAATTTGGATTTGATGTAGCTGACGTTACTACCTTGACTCTATCCTCCCCCTTCAGATTCGCATGATTTTCCTCTCTTTCCAATGCTTGGAATCTATGCTCTGTAATTTTAAATAATTCATCGAGACTTACAAGGTTCTTGTTGTCTTCGAGCGAATGTTCAAACAAGGTTTGAGTTGAGGGATCAAGTTTTTTCAATATTATATGGACGATTATTGCGTCCCATTCATCCACCGGAAGTCCCTGTGCATTTAAGCCATGGATGCATTCCTTTGTGAGATCATGAATATTTTTTAGGGCTTGTGCCGTTTAATTTTTTTTTAATAATGTTGTCACAATGAGCCTTTTGTTATCGTATCTATTGACCAGAATATCCCATGCTATTGCATATTTTGTTGTTGCAATTGGCAAATGGTTTATTAGTTTTTTGCCTCATCTGTGAGGTGTATCCTCAAATAGAACATTTTCTCAACTTCACTCATTGCTGCATTGTGAATAAGTTGGTTATACAGATCTTTGAAGGCTACCCAATGGAGATAACAAAAGGTTTCTTTGGAGATCTCAATATGCTTAGCCTAGGTAGAGACACCGTATGCTAATATGATAGAATGAAACCTTAGTAGAAACACTAAGCCCATGAAGCAATGACAAAAGTTGAAATTTGTTTGCCTTATTGTGTTTATTTGTATCAATTTTTATACAAATTAATTGCTTACGTCTAAATTAAAATTAACAATAAAAACAATGCATGATCAAGTTTCACTTTAGTAAGTAAATCATAAAATTTCAGGTTGTAAAAAATGCCTTTAATTGCATTATTGCACAAAATAATATAAGGTAAATGACATTTATGTTTGTTGACATATCAAATACCTGTGAGTCAATGACTGCAATAAACAGTTTCAAGGGCAAACGAATCAACTAATGAAGTAATGGAATTTTGTTATGGTTAACAGCGGCCAAAGTAAAGCACGAGTTGTTCAGGAATTTGGAGGCTACGTTGACATCTTCTATGGACTCAGTGAAGCAAACCCACGACCTTCTTTTGGCCTTTTTGATCTCACTGTTGTACCTGTTGAAGGCTGATTTAAAAGCATCCCAGTCCGTACCCAGTTTGGTCTTATTAAATCTATTATAAAAGCGTCTGCTTGTCTTTCTGAGCTGGGCTAGGTCTTTCGACCACCAGACAGGTAGGCACATTTTGCCGGGAAGGTAAGCGGGCAAACTCTTTCAAGCTCCCAATCAGGATTTTTGTTATTAAATTAACGGACTCGTCCACATCTGAGGCGGAGTCTACTGGGAGATTACCAGTAGATCTCAGCTTCCATGCAGTGTGCTCCGCAAATTTGTCACATCGAGCATTTCTCGGGTTCTTAAGCGGTTTTTGATACAATCCCTCTACTGATACCTGGAATGTTATCTTCCTCTGACTTATCCATGTTAGTAAGGGTGAGATCAATGACCTCCTCCCTATTCTTATTTTGAAAAGTTGCCTTATTACCCCTGTTATATATTTTGAGATTATGTGTTAAAATTAAATCAAAACTGGATTCACCTCTTGCGTTCGTATCCCTACTGCCCCATTGAAAATGGTGAGCGTTAGCATCACATCCAACAACGAGATTGCCTCCGCTTCTCAGCTCAGTGAACAGCTTCTCTACTACTTGGCCTGGCGCGTCGGGGTACTCAAAGGGAAAGTAGATGGAGATAAAAAAGAGTACTCTTCCGGTTCGTGATTCCAATATAACACCCGTGGCTGAAATTATTGAGGAAGATTAAATTTAAGTTCTTTTTAGCGACGATACACGTTCTAACCTTTTCTCCATTGGAGGTGGCATAGGTGATGTACCATTCACTCCCTAGCCCGTTACCCTATTTTTGACTATATCAAGTTCTTGGACCAGGGCTATCAACTAATGAAGTACTACTTTAAACTGGTGAGAGACAAGAGAAGCTCAGCCGCGGCTGATTTGCAGTGGTGCAGCTTAATCTGTACAACGTTGAGCAACTGCGGCTTCCTTCCTCCTACTGCGACGACGGCGTTAGACTTAACCGAATCCATCCTGTGCCAAGGTGCAGCTCCCCCCCCCCACGTGTCTGAAGGTATTCCTGGCCAGATGTATCGATGGGTACCTTGACGACCAGGCCTCCTCCCTCCGTGCTTGAGCCGACTAAATGCCAGCTGTCCGTACTGAGATAGGGATTTTATTAACTCAATATTGTCAAGACGCGTGTCGGATCCACTGAAGGAGGTGGCACCATGCTGTCAATATTTTCCTACAGGAAATTTCCTTAAGGGAAGCCTGCTACTGCGGTCACGAGGACGTTTTTGGACTCCTCAATTTCGCAGCAGATGACCTTCACTCCTTTGTAGATGGTACCACTGCCGAACTGTAGCCTTATTGGATCTTCCCATAGGAAAACCAACTCCCTCAGACGGTCCTCAATGAGAAGACATAAACTTTCACTGTTTTTGCCTTCCGGCTCATCTCTGTCGATGACCGCTGCACGGAGTCGATCAAGAACGAATAAGAATGAACATTTCTTAAGCTTGTTTAGATCCTTTTAAGCGAAATAAAATGGATTTTATGCGTCGTTTCATAACTGTTGATGAGACATGGATCCACCACTATACTCCAGAGACAAAAGAAAAATCCAAACAATGGACGGAAGCTGGAGGAAGTGCCCCAAAGAAGGCAAAAATAATTCAATCGACTGGTAATGTTAGGGCAACATTTTTTTTTGGGACTTCAAAGGTACTTTATTAATTGACTACCTGCAGAAGGGCAAAGCAATAAATACAGAGTACTTTTACAAACTTTTGGATTAATTAAATGTACAAATTCGAGAAAAACGTCATTGCTTACAACACAAAAAATTGTTCATCAAGACAACGCACCAGCGAATAAGGGTGTTTTAACAGTGGCTAAAATAAACGAATTAAAGTACGAGTAGCTTGACCACCCACCTTATTCTCCTGATTTAGCTCACAGTGACTTTTACTTGTCCCCACATATATGTGTCAACGGCGACTCCCTCTGGTTAATACCTTAAACAGAATGCCATAACACGGTCAAACGGATTTATTCTTGCAAATAATACGGTTAACAGCTATTAACTGGCGGGATATACATATTAAACCAATCTACCTCGCACTTCCACATTGATGGCAAATAAAAAAGAATAATTTATTATGAATCGAAAGGAATTGCGTTTTGCCATTATTTTTGCATAAGTTTCCGATCGCAATATTAGGTGTGTACGATAATCTAATATTTTGTAAAAATTTTACATAAATTTAAATGAGAGTGAATTGACAATGCAATTTACATTACTGTGTTACTAAGAATTTACAAATGGCACACTTGGTGGTTGGCAACGAATCTTTTTTTAATCGACTAATTCAATTAATCGAGGGAGAAGTCACAATAAAATTATATCAATAATTAAAAGAAAATTATTGACAATTACAAATTGTTCAATTATTCGTGTCATCACTATGTACGGTTTACTGGAGACAAGCTCAGGCGAGATTGATTTTAATTGAAAGAAATCGTGAAATCTTCCAACCTCCACTTCAAGTGCGATCATTATATATTACATTGAAACTATAACAACTTAAATACTATCTCTTTAAAAAATGGTTTGTAAAATTGATTAATATGCCCGGAAAAGTGTTCTAAACGAGAAATATATATTGCATTATTTTAACCTTGCATTTACACATGAAAGTGACAGAAAAGTAAAAAAACAGCACGTCAATACAGGAGAGGAAACAATTGTACTGTATTACTGTACTGAATTTAGCCCAACACCACAATTTTATAGCCAGGAAGACTACTTTTGATAATGAATTATTAAGTTTTTACACCACGTTATTTGATTTCCTTCGAATTTTAAATTCCAACTAGAATTTTTACAGGAAATTAGCTCTCAGATAGTCATACTGGTAGACGTCTCATAGTTCTGGGAACAATTGAAGTGAAGAGCAAGCAGTTCAATTTTTCTAGTATCAAGATATATTTACAAGGCAAACAAAATAAATTCCCCTATATATCAATATAAAATCCCATTATTGTTGTTTTTGTAAAAACAACGTTTGTTTATTAGTGGAGAACGATTGTAATGTTTACCTGGGGGGTAAGGCAGGGAATACCTAGGTTTCGGAAAGAGCCACCAATCCTCATCAGATCCCTTGGTCTTTGTCCGAGATATTCTCCCTAGAATTTATTTTAAAAATAACTTCTATGACAAAAAAAAAAAAAAACTTTTTTACCCAAGTGACGAGATTGTAAGCTTAATAGAAGAGGTATCAAAGAATTACATAAAACCATTTCTTTTTTTGAAAATCTTCTAAATCTTACAACCGCACTTATAAACATTTTCATCTTTCTCCACTTGTTATTCTTTCATTTTACACGAATGAAGTAGCAAAAGTAACTTCTTTAAAAAAAAAAAACTTTAGAGGTTTCCTGAAATTTATTTTTGTTCCTTTTTTAATAGATTTCTAGCAAAAATATCTTTGAAAGCAAGAGAAGTCTAAGATTTTTATTCACCTCCTGTGTGACCAGTGTGTGAAGTGTCCGTTTGATAAAATTAATTTTATGACTATGATGCATATACACTACTTTTTATTTTTAAAAATGGCATGTTCAAATGTATAGCAATTCTCGGAACTGTCACTTCCATGTATAAATGCAGGATAAGTAACTTCGGTGCAAACACCGATCTAAGAAAAGGGGCATCAAAGTCCTAAAAACTGAGGTTTTAGCCCGAGAAAAATAAAATAAACGGGCTTAGATTCAAAATATTTATAGCATTTCTATGTATGACGAATGTATTTATTTTTTAACTTATTTTCATCTTACGTTTTTTGATTGATATAATATTTCTACATTTCAGGCAAAATATGATAACATTAAAATTCTCATATACACTGGGGATATTGAAAGCTCACCAAATGCAATTTTGGAAAAAGCGAAAAGTGTATTCAACATTTACATAGAAAAAGATAGCGTTACTTTTGTGTACCTAAAGTTACGGCATTGGGTTGAAGCAAAAAAATATCCCTGTTTCACCCTCCTTGGTCAAAGTATTGGTTCAATACTCTTAGGCTTGGAAGCATTATGTAAATTTCCTCCCGACATATATATTGACACCATGGGATATGCATTTACGTTACCATTATTTCGATACATAGGATGTTGTAAAGTCGGGTGTTATGTTCATTATCCAACAATAAGTACAGAAATGTTACGGAGAGTTCAACAGCGTGAATATTCCCATAATAATCATAGTTACGTAGTTCGAAATCCCTTTTTAACCTGGACAAAAGTTACATACTACAAGTTATTTGCTAAGGTCAGTATAATGACATTATTTATAAAATATTTTTATATATAAATATTTAACAAGATATCTTTACCACAGATGTATAGTTGGGTTGGCCGTAGTTCGGAAACGATAATGGTGAATTCATCCTGGACGGAAAACCATATATTGAATTTGTGGGGTGCACCATTTAAGACTCACCGTGTTTATCCACCTTGTGAAGTAAACCATATAAAAAAATTGAAACGCTCAGAAAATCCTAACAAAATAATAATATTGTCAGTAGGACAATTTCGACCAGAAAAAGATCACCCTCTTCAATTGCAGACAATGTATGAATTAAGGACTTTATTGAATAGGAATGAGGAAATGTGGAACAAAATTCAGCTTGTTATTCTTGGTTCCTGCAGAAATGAATCAGACTACGAACGTCTTAAAAACATGCAAGACTTATCAAAACATCTATCTTTGGAAAATAGTGTTGAGTTCAAAGTGAACGTTCCCTACAGTGAACTATTAGAAATCTACAAAATTGCTAGTATTGGTATTCATACAATGTGGAATGAACATTTTGGCATTGGTATAGTCGAATGTATGGCGGCTGGCCTTATAATGGTCGCACACAAATCTGGAGGGCCCCTATTGGATATAATTGAAACATCGGAAGGCTCGCAAAATGGATTCCTTGCAACAGACGCTTCTGAATATGCCAATTGTATATTATCAATAATCTATAATTCCTTGGAACAAAACGAAGTTATAAGAAATGCAGCAAGGTAAGAAGATTTTAAATTATATATTTTAAGTTAAGAAACGATAAAATCTATATGTTAACAATTTTTTTTATGAGTATCCAGAAAGCAACCTATTATTAGCAACGATCATCGTTATTGACTGTTTGTTTCTTATAAGACGATACCTGACTACGTCGTTTGTTCCTGGCGATTTCCATGATAAAAGTAATTTTTGTACTCGACAAGAGATGAATTTTCTCTAGTATCGGAGTTGTTTTCGAATAATTGGTCCAAATATCGAAGAGAAGATCAGATACCTTAGAAGCGGATCTAAACGTGAACTCATTAAGGATTACTTTTATTAAATTTTACTAGGCAATGATTGTTAATTTCATTCAGTTAAGTGCCAGACCTCAGCTACATTTCTATCTAGCGGACCTTGGTTTCTTTTCTATCTACTGTAGTAAGCAATTGTAGTCAAAATTAATAGATTGTTCGTCAAGGATTATTTCAATTGGCTGCAATTTCTTTTTTACATCACTGAATGCTTAGTTTAATATTTCCGAAGATTCTTTTTCAAATTTAATATAAAATTTAAATTTTTTTATATTTTATATTAAATAAAAATAATTTGTACAAATTATTATGTTATCGTAAAAACTCATTTATAACAAATCAACAAATTTGGAGTTTATTACATAAAAATTCAAGAATTGTCATATACAAGTTCAAAAGTTATTTACGGAAAAGAAAAGTGAAAAGATATGCTAGCAAAGGCAACAAAATTTCAGTTCAATCGCATGCCGTAGCAAGACTACGTACAGAACTAGAAGTGTTGTAAATGTACAACTCTTTTACTAGGGTTTTTTTTTAAATTGTGGGTTATTCTTTTTAGCAGTTAAAATATAAAGAAACGAATAAAAAAAACAACAATCAAAAGCAGCGAAACATATTGATAAAAAATATATTTAAAATTGAGTAATAATGCATGTAAAATATATATTTACCAAGTTAGTTTTTAACATACTTACTATAATTTCAATATATTCAAATTTAATAAATTGTATAGTGCTGTTTTTAAATTTAATTTATTCTAACATTGATTAAACTTTTCGGCATCAATTACCACAACATATACCTGTACTGAGATTCATGTATGTGCATGCGCTGAGAAGTGCGCTCAAAAATACTAATTTACTGTAACAACCAAGTCATCATTTTTTGAAATTTTTAATAATAATAAATTGATCCGGTTGCGTGATTAAAAAGCTGGAATATGAGCGCATTTTCTGATCATAAAAGACTCATTTGTCGGGAGAAAAACGTGACCTCCCGCGACTTTTCTAAATAAATCACATATGAGCCTTCCTCTAGATTATTTAAGAGTCTTTTTCGACCATTTTTTGATCGTTCTACGAGTCTTTTTCGAGTCGTTTTCTAATCATTATTGCCCTAAAACGCTTAATTTTTGTATATTTTTCGAGTCTTTTTTAAGTCATTTTTTGATCATTTATGAGTCTTAAGTGAGTAATTTATTAGTCTTTTAAGTGTCATATATCACTCATATGTATATTCATTTAGGAGGCTTTTTTGAGTCCCCTTTTGTATTAAATTCAAGTCATTTATGAGTCTTATATGACTGTTAATGCTATGTTCTCATTACACTTTCAATCACGTTGTTCGCTCTCAGAATTAGGTAAACGAATTAACCCGTTCATACGGCACGATTCGTAATTCATAGCAAAATAATTCCTTTTTCACAAATTTTATTTGTTGACTTGAATGGGAATTCGTACAAAAATACATGAAATTCCCACTAATATGAATAGAAGAAATTATTGTTTTTCTTCCAAAGAATAATTATATCATTAATTTTACAATTTTCATTCACGTTTTCAACTTTTTGTGCAAATGTTGACATTTTGAACATATTTTTGTATTTTTCTATTTTTAAATTTTGCTGGAGAGACACTTGTCAAACATTTTTCTGCCGATACAAACATTTTGAAAATATTGTCTCTTTTGTTTGCAGTTTTCTGTGGAAATTTCAACTCGTGGACAAAATGCGTACCTCGAATGAGAGAGAAAACAAAATGTACTTTCGTTTGAATGTACATACGCCATTCAACATTGTAGTTTTCATTCATAATTTTCAGTCTTCCCAAAAATTTTTAAAATTTCATTAAATTTTTCTATTTTTAATTTTTAAATGTCATAATTAATTTTTTCGATAAATGCTCTCATTTGTTAGGGATGGCACATATTCAATCTTAGTTCTGAGAGTGATTTGAATGGAACGAAGAACAAAAATCTTTGTTCGCTCAGGAAATTTTGTGTGAAGAATTAGATAGTTTTTTCATAGTTAAGGGTCAAACAACGAATAGAGAGCGAATCAAGTGCAGTGGAAACGCCACATGACGATTCTACGAATCACGTACGTGATTTCTAAATATTCGGATGTACCGTAGAAAAAAGAATTTGATTATATATGTTCATATAAAAATTTATTTAAAATAAAAATAATTCAGCTTTTATGATTATAATTTGTACTGTAATTTCAATAAATGCGATTGTAAAAAATATAGTGTAGTGGATACTGCTTTGAAAAAAAAACACCGTTTGATTTATATTTATTTTTTGATGCACTGTCTGTTTGCTTTCGCTCTCTCCATTCGACTGACTGTCCAGCGACCGACGAGCAACAGAACAAGGCTCAATCTTTTATTAGGTACAATTATCGATAAATATTAGAAACTTATGTGCTAGATAGTAATTAACGTAACGTGAATATGATTTATTATCTAAATGTCTTAGGAACTAATTAGTATACTACATTTCGGCCGTCCTGACCATAAGAATCACCTGATTCTTTCGAAATCTACATCAGTATGTTATCGCATTTTTTTTTACCTTGGAACCAGGGTTTTATATTATGGGCTGCCCAAACGCCTTTGTTGGGTATTTGCGTTTGCTGGAAACCGTCTACGTCTTCTAAAATATATCTGTCATTATCTAAAATCGTAGTTATCTGGTATGGTCCCTTGTACTTCGGTATTAGTTTTCTCGCTATCCCGGTTTTGCAGTCGAAGTTTCGGATAACTACATAATCTCCTACTTTATATTCAACCGGATTTTTCCGTTTCTCATTAGTAATTCTTTCATTGTACGATTGTGCTTGCATTTCTTTTTTATTTGCGTTTGTTCTAACCTCGTCAATATCTCGACGATTTTCGGGTAAAACATTTTTCTGTATTTCGTCTGTACATTTTCCTTTTTGATTTATTCCAAAAAGCATAACGCTTGGATGTTCATCTATCATTCTGTGAACGGTATTATTCATGGTAAATTCTGTAATTTCTATTATGTCACTCCAGCTTAAATTTGAATCTGTGTCTTTAATTTTTGCTATCATTGGCCCTAAATTTCTGTTAACCCTCTCGACTTGGCCATTAGCTTGTGGAGACCCTGTTGCGATTAAAATGTGCTTAATGTCATTTTCTTTCAAAAATTGTGCGAAATCAGAGGAGGTGAAACACGTCCCTCTGTCCGATACTATATATGTCGGTCTACTGTAATATCTAAAGTACTCACTCAACGCCTTTATAGCCTCTTTTGTTGCTGTAGTCTTTGTGGGATATAGTTTTACAAATTTTGAACAAGCATCAACGACAACAAATAAATGCTTCTTCACGTCGTTGCCATGAATAGGTCCGTAATGATCTATATGAAGCATCTCGAAAGGTTTATCAGGCTTCGGTATATTATGAAGAAACCCTTCTTTCTTACCACTTTTACTAGAAAATGATATGCACTTTAAACAATTCTCGATGTGATTTTTCACTTTAACCTTCAGTTGTGGAAACCAGTAATGTTTCTCTATTAGATCAGTAACTTTATTAATACCAACGTGGCCCATCTCATCATGAAATTTGTACAAAACGTGTGACTCCATATCTAGCGGAACGTAAAATAATACTCTATTTTTACTAAGCTTCTTGTATAATACTCCATTTCTCATCTCATAATGTTTATGTTCTGTAGTTTGTAGTGTCTCCTTTAATTTCCTTATATTTGGGTCTCTATTTTGACATATAACTAAATTCTCTTCAAACGTGTTAGTTTCGATTATCATTATGTCTTGGCATCTGCTAAGTGCGTCGACATGTTGCATGCGCTTTCTAGAGCGATGTTCCACGACATAATCGAAGTTTTGCATTTCTAAAGCCCACCGTGCTATTCTCGGGTTCAGATCTTTTTTACCTAAAGTCAACTTAAGTGAATTACAGTCTGTAATTATTTTGAACGGTCTCCCAAAGAGATAGACTCTAAATCTCCTCAACGCATATATGATAGCTAGGGTTTCCAATTCATAACTATGAAATTTTGATTCAGATTCACTTGACCTCTTTGAAAAATAAAATACTGGATGATATTTTCCATCGCTTCCCTTTTGAACTAGTATTGCCCCATAACCTAGCGCGCTGGCGTCACAGTGTAATTCTGTTTCAGCTAAAGGATCAAAAAGAGCTAGAACTGGGGATTCTAAAAGCTTGTTTTTCAGTAAGTCGAATGCTGTAAGTTCTTCTAGGCCAAATGAAAACTTCTTGTCTTTTTTTGTGAGGTCGTATAACGGTTTTGCTATGATTGAAAAATCTTTTATAAAACGACGAAAATATGAGCACAATCCAAAAAAGCTTCGAACCGTGTGTACTTTATCTGGAACGGGGTAATTTTTAATCGCCTCCAAACCTTTTTCATCTGCTCGAATACCCGACGAGTCTATATTGTAACCAAGATATTTAACATTATTCTGTAAGTACTCGCATTTATCTAGTCGCAACTCTAATTTGTTTTTTACTATCCGTTTCATAACCTCTTCCAATACCGAAAGGTGCTCAGGGATGTTATCGGCGGCTATTATAATGTCGTCAAGGTAAATTATAACTTTTCTATCTTTTACTAGATCTGCGAAGATTTTGTTAATGAACATTTGAAACACTGACGGAGCATTTTTTAGGCCGAAAGGCATTCTGAGAAATTCA